CATATAATATACAAGTGAATTCTTTGCTCAGTGGAATCAATAGCGTCTTTCATTCGTAGTTGGTTCTTGAGGCTATTCATGTTTTGAGCCATGTTAATAGATGCATAGGTCCATGACACGATAAGAACTTAAAACAGTCAAGAACAGCATGATTTTTTTATGGAGTACTCCAAGAAATTCATTTAAATACTAGTATTATTTAATGCACATAGGTCATATAGTCCTCATTAGTTAGTAATTAAATACTACAGAGTAATATGGTCACATGACTAGGTACAAAAGAAATACCGTATGTGAGAATTACCCAATTTCCTACACTTTTCCTCTCTTGGGATGCCCTTTTCAGAGAAATACATTCCTGGTGCACCATGGCCCTAGATGTTTGTGGACTATGGTGTTGGGGGTGGGGGTAGGAAGTTTATGTCATTTTCATATTAAATTTATTAGAGATATATAATTTCCACATGATACTTTGAATAATATACTATCTATGCTATATGAGCATCCTCACAAAGCCCACTACGATCCCAACTCTAAAATTAAACTGATGCCTACAAATTCATTGCCATGCAGTAAAGACGTGAACATGGTAAAAAAGCTTGTTGATGATTGCCTTACTGGCCAGCTATCATCCTCACTCCGTCCCCATGATGCAGTTTCTGCCTTGGGCCCCATGTATGAATCCCATGAGAAAAGTTATCTTCCCAAGATGCAATCTTGTGATAGATCAATTACTGGATTGCTTGATTTCTGCAAGGACAAAAAGAACGAAATGAACACGTTTGTCCACAACTATATGCAAAAGATAGCATATATTCAGTTCATGATAAAAGATGTCCGTTGCAAATTTTCTGTTTTCCAGGAAGCTTTGAAGCGTCAAAGTGATCTTTTCGAACACTTAAAAATTGTCCGGGGAATCGGGCCAGCATATAGAGCTTGCCTTGCAGAAGTGGTTAGAAGGAAGGCTTCAATGAAGCTTTACATGGGCATGGCGGGACAGTTGGCCGAAAGGCTTGCCGCCAAGAGGGAAGCAGAGGTTTCTAGAAGGGAGGAGTTTTTGAGAGTTCACAGTCCATACATACCAAGGGATGTTTTGGCCTGTATGGGATTGTTTGATACTCCTAGCCAGTGTGACGTAAATATGACCCCTTTTGATACCAAGTTGCTCGACATTGATATCCCAGAGCTTGACCATTATGCCCCTGAGTATTTGTTGGGACTCTCACACAGAGGCAAGGTTGATGATTGTGGTTTTGAACTTCCTGAGAAGATTGATTCGGTTGAGTTTCTCGATATTGTTGGAACGAGCAAGATGGAAGTTGAAAATGCAAAACTGAGAGCAGAACTTGCTTCCAAGATAGCCTTGATTTGTTCGATTAGCCCTGAAGTTGGTTATGAATCTTTTGATGATGAGGGTAAAATGGACCGCTTGCTACAGGACGTTCGAGAGAAAACATCTGAAGCCATACGTTTGAAAGAAGAGCACGAGAACCATCTTAAATCCATGCTGAAGATGAAGCAAATGCAGTGTGAGTCATATGAAAAACGGATTCAGGAGTTAGAGCAACGTTTGTCTGAGCATTATATGCCTAGCCATAAAGGCTCTGTGGGTGAGGGAGTATCAAACCTTACCACTTCATGTGCCTCTAGTTCATTGGAAGATAAAACAGGGAATCTTTCTAAACAGGGAAAGACACAAGAAGTGTTATATGATAACATGACTGATTCTTCTAGTACGGTTAACCCTCAATTGGATTCATCTATGGTAGATCCTCACCGCGATGAAGAGCACGACCAGTTTTGTGACAAGGAGGCAAACGAGACATTATCAAGCTCTATGGTTCTGAGCGTGTCTCGGCCTGTGAGTGCTTCATTACCTTCTGAACCAGCTGCTGGTCCTGCTTTTTGTTCAAGACTAAGTGAAGATGTTGTTATTGAGTTGCAAAAAGCACTCAGTGAAAAATCAAGCCAACTGAATGAAGCAGAAAATGAAATCAAAAGGCTGAGGAATGAGGTTGACAAGTTAAATGGGGGTTTGGAGAACAAAAGGAAGCTCCTTGATGAATCACAGGTATTTTTTTGACTAAACTACAGTTGTTTTCTTAATATAAAGGACAAATATTATATAGTCAAACTGTATGGACTCTACAGAGAACTAGAAATTTTGCACTGATTTGTCTCTTGGAAATAGTCTCTCTACTTCCGTGGGATTTTACTGGGTTTGTTGTTGCCGAGACTCCATACCTGGAAATTAATTGCATTTTCATCAACTATTAACTCTAGGCTTGTTATTTGTCACTATAGTGTTGAATTGACACTTGTAGTGTTACACTTTACCAAAGAAATCTAATGTCGGTTTTGATGGAAGGTTTTGGAGGCCTATGTGTATATGTTGATATACATATATAATTACATATACACTGTGTGAATGACCTTTAATAGAAGTTAAAGAAATAACATAATTGACAATCATATAACATTCTAATCACACTTTATATACGTTATATTTTTCAAGATTGGGGCAAGGTCTGCCTACCCCCCAAATACCATGCTCTCGTGGGATTCAATTGGGTTGTTGTATATTTTTCAAAATGTAGACTTTGCCCTCCAATGTCTTCCCTTCCTTTGAGTTGGAATCCTTTTTTTGTGTGGCGTCATTTTAGTCAACTGTGCTATCATTCATATTTGTTAGTATTTAAGTTTGGTATGCTTTACTTTTGAAGTTTTTATGGCAGGATATGATTGTTAGGGAAATTTTTATGGCATACCAACATAGATTGTCCCAACCATTTCCAAAAGAAAATTGAGAATAGAGAAGTGTGCAAACACAAACAAGAAATTTATAGTGTTTAGTATTAAAAGGATGGGTTTTATTTATTTCTTTATCACATACCACATCGCATTTGAGATAGAATTTTGTATCTCCCTCTGTCTAGGAAAGATCTTCCCAAATGCCCTTTTTTTGACCGAGAAAGATCTTCCGGTACCTTCCCAATATTCGACCTTTCATTAAGGGTAATTTGGTAGAAGCTAAAACGAAATAAGAATCATTTACGGAGTATTATTCTTCTTTCCTTTTAAAAATAAAATTAGTGCCCTCGTGGCTCAACAATTTACATTTTTGTGACACGGAGTTTATCAAATCGCTCTTCACTGAAATACTCTATGTTGTACAATGTGATACAGATGAATTGTGCTCACTTGGAGAACTGTCTTCATGAAGCAAGAGAGGAAGCTCAAACCCATCTTTGTGCAGCTGAAAGGAGGGCCTCAGAGTACAGCACACTGCGTTCTTCTGCTGTTAAAATGCGTAGCCTCTTTGAGAGGTTGAGAGCTTGCATTTTATCAGGTGGCACTGCTGGTTTTGCCGAGTCTCTATGTGCTTTGTCACTGTCTTTAGCAAAGTGAGTTCGCTTTCTTGTTTTAACCTTTTTTTTCTCCCCTCAGGCACGGGGGAGATTCTCACCCATAAATTTCCCTGCCACTACATGTTTGATTTTGGATAAAATTATAAAATGCCTTTTTGTCCCCGAGCTATAAACACATTTTTTAATACTTTTCAAAAAATCAGTTCAATCAATGAAAAGGAGGAAGACAGTACTGCTGAGTTCAGAGAATGTGTTCGGGTGCTCGCTGAGAAAGTTGGTGCTTTGTCAAAGAGTCGCTCGGAATTACAGGAAAGGTGTTCAAATGCGGAAGCTTCTAATAAGCTTCTAATGGCAGAATGCGAAGAGAAGAAAGAGTTGGTTAACACCCTCTATAAGAAACACCAACTTGAGAAACAGGTACTATATCTCATAAGTTTTTTACTGCTTGTGGTAAACAGATTTATAATGTAGATCCTACCCCCTAACCCCTTTGGATTTTCGGTGGTCGGGAAGAGTGGGGCTGGGGGCTTATGGGGGAGGACGGGCCTCAGCATCCGACACCCATAACCAGTGTCAAAAGAATTGTTGTGTCAGAATATAGTTAATCTAGTGTCATTACAAGTTTATTCTGCTGTTTTTTTAACAGGCAAAGGAAGAGAGGATATCGTTTTCTCGAGTCGAAGTGAATGGAATTGCAGCATTCGTGCTGAAGCCAGACGGCGGATACTATGAGGCAATCAACCGGCACTGCCCGCGCTACTACCTCTCTGCCGAGTCCACAGCCTTATTCACCGCCCATCTCCGGACCCGCCCGAGCTACATTGTCGGGCAGGTTGTGCATGTAGAACGGCACATCGTCTCGACTCAAGTGAGCCGCGAGCTGCTGAATTCCGATGGGTCGGCCTCGATCCCTTACGATCTCCCGGTTGGCTGTGAGTACTTCACAGTAACTGCAACCATGTTGCCGGAAATCGCCACCACGGGTACTCATTCCCTACCCCCTTCCTCGTAGAGCTCTCTCTATCCCTTATTAGCTGTGTACATGATGACGACGATATATGTGTATGTGCGCGCGCGCGAAAGAATCCCCCCTCCCCCCCCATGATGAAGGGATTCTTAGCCTCTGCAGATTTGATCTTCCCCTCCTATGTGTGTACAGTTTCCCTGGTAAAACTTTGATGGAAGCATGCTGTAAATACCCCTCTCCCCCCTCTTTTGTGAAAAGTAAAAAAAAAAACTCTGAATTGAATATTTTTACCCTTTGGTCTCTCTGCTTTATGCTCATGAATGAATGAATATCCATCCCCTGAATTGAATGTTTTTACCCTTTGAACATAAGGGTCACTTTGACTCTATCGGGGCCCGTTTTGCGAGCGTAGGAGATATGAGTTCTGACATCCCTTTTGCGGGTGTTTGGTTAAGGCTAACGCGATTCGGACAATTGCGTGTTTTTCATGGGCAATTTGGTATAACCAAAACTGATATTGAAATCCCACCAGACAATGAATGCAGTAGAGAAGCATTCATTGATATTGATTATGACTGCCCAATATCTAGTCTCTTTTTGGCATTACCAAAGTATATGCTGTAAAATAAGTCCCAATATGGACACTTTCACCAAACTTTGTAAAGTCAAAACAATTAAGTTTATTATGGGGAGGAGGCCATATTATGTACACATTCCAAAACATAAAGTTTATCAACACATTCTTAGTGCATGAGATTTGTTAGCCAGCAGGACTTCAAGGGATTTGGCTTTCCTGTTTCTAACTCTTCCTGCTTCCTTCAACAACTCAGCCAGCCTTCTCTTCTCGTCGTCTACGTCCGGGTTTGCCGTTCCGAGCTTGTCCTCCCTCGTTCCCACCACAAACTCCAAGATTTCTATTGCATCATTTGTCCTAGCATTGATCAAACACACACCCAATAAGCAATGTTTAAATTCATATTTGAAAGAATAAAAAGGAATGGTCAATGGACAGTTAAATTGAGACAGAAACAAAGAGTGGCATTACTTGTAAGTACCTTCCCATGGCATCGTAAGTCGCAGCCAGATTGCTGTAGACTCCCAACGTGTCGGCGTGGAAAGGACCGTATTCGGCTTCGAAGATGATTCTTGCCTCTTCAAACAAGTCTGCAGCCTCGTTTATCGCGTAGAGTTGAACACATGCAAGCCCCATTTGGTTGAGGGCAATGCCCAAAAGAGCCGCCTTTTTTTCTCCCCCTCCGGTTGTGCGAAACTTGTCGACAGCGTTTTTCATGTGGTTGTATGAACTTGAGTAGTCGCCTAGAATGTAATACAAAACTCCAATCTGAGCTTCAACTCCTGCAATGGCGTGGCTATGGTTATGTGGTACATTCATGTATGCTTCGTTGGCCTTGTGGAGCAGGTCGAGTGCTCGCTTGGGTTCGCCCATGGACTCGTATATCGCGGACAAATCAGCCAAACCACTTGCAATCACTTCGGGTTGGGCTTTTGGGAGAACCCGGAGAGCGTTCTCGCAGTAATATCTGGACTCCTTAAATTTTCCTACCCTGTGGTACAAATCAGCCAGGGGGACGCATACCGAGGCGATCAATGGATGGTTTTCGCCTTTAAGAGACTTTAACATAGTAAGAGCTTTTACATAAGAATAAATGGCCTCATTGTATCTTCCTTGAGAGAGATATGAATCCCCAATGCTACACTCTATAGTAGCTGCCTCGGCTTCCTGGCCGTGGACCCCAGCTACGGCCAGGCTTGCCAGGACGTACTGTTCGATCGCACCTTCATACTCTCCCTTGGAGTGAAGAATCAAACCGAGCAGTCTCCTGTCGGCTGCCCCTTCGCAAGGGTTGTTGTCGTGCCCACGGATCTCAAGGGCCATTCGACACATCTTCTCTGCTTCATCGAACTGCATTGCTTGTACGTGTGCTTCCGCCACGTACCGGCACGTCCCTCCGAGCCTCAGGTCATTTTCCCCCAGCACTTGCCGCTGGATCTCAAGCCCCGCGGCATAGAACGCGACCGACTTCTCCATCTCCCCCAGCGCTGCGTACGTGTCTCCCAATTGCATGCACCCTGCGAACTTGGCGATGGCGTGGCTCGGGCCTTTGTCCATCTCCGGGATCTCGATCGACCGCTCCAGAACCCGAACCGATTCCCCGATCCGTCCTAACCGACGGTACAACGCCGCGACGACGTGCATGCACATGACAATGTCCAAATTCTTGGACTTGTAGTAGTCCTTTGAAGAGGGAGAGTGTTGTTGTTGTTCTTCTTCTTCGAAGGACTTCAAGGCTCGAAGCGCGAGATCAAGAGCCTTTTCGGGGTTCTCCCCTTGGGAAATCAAAGATCTTGCCTGTTTGAGCAGATGGGAACCAACAAGGTTGTCATTTGACAAGGAAGAAGAAGAACAGGGGGGCTTTCTTGATGAACCCGTCTTCTTGTTGTTTTTTCTGGGCTTCCGTTTGCCGGACACTACCCTGTCAATCTTTGCCGGAGAAGGAAGGGTTTTTTGGTCCGCGCATGATGATGTTTCTTGCTCCGGATCTCCGTAATCTGCGCCGGCGAGGAACCGGAGCTCGGAGTCAATTCTTGATTCGTCGTCGTCCTCGTCAGAGGAGGAGAGGAAGCTGCCCATGAGCTCGGACGGGGACTGGCCGGAGATGTGCATGTCGTAGAGATTGTTATAGAGCTGCTCGATGGAGGTGGCGATGAGGCCGTCCATGGCGAAGTCTATGGAATCGGTTTCTCTGCTGTTCTCATCAGATGCCGCCGCCATTAATTCTTCTTCTTCTTCTTCTTCAGTGAATTGAACGAACAAGTAGTAATTAACTCTTTGATTGATCTACTATATATTATTTGTAGGTGCATAATTAAACAAGACAAGATAATCTTTTTATGTTTTCATGATTGATAATATAAATAAGTTTGGTGATCAATTTGCTTCAGTAGTTTGCTTTACGCATTAGTAATGCTTCGTTAGTTCAAAGCCTATACAAATATAGAAATGAGATGCTTCGTTAAGGTAACTGGTTTCTTACATGTTTCTCTTCAAATCTAATTTCACACGTACATTTTTGTATGTAACTTAGTTTTTGAATCTATAATTTTTATTTTTTAATTTTCACATCAGCTTTTTATAAAATGAATTACAAATAACCTTAGTCCAATTACAACATCCTTATGCGAGAGAAAATAACATGTCTAACATAAATAATTTCAGTCAAATATCGCAATAATAAAAAATTTTTTACTTTATTTTTTGTCCATGCCAAAACTTCCTTTTTAAGGAAAAGAATTCTGAGTTTTTGTTTTAGAATTTTTTTGTTTTACTTTCCAATATTTTTTTTGATGCCTGTAAAAATTAAATTGAGATTTTTTTGTGAGATGGAGGGATATATGGTTCGATTGCATAGGTAGCTATTAGTTTAGACATATTTTGATTGGGTACTTTATTATACAAATAAGACATACACATATCACTTTTTTGTATATCTACTCTAATTTTTGATAATAGAAAGTTCTAAAATTTCATGCATTTGAGAAAAATGGCATACTTCCTCCGTCCCAAAATATTTGTCACACTTGCTTTTTCAGCAGTCGCGTGAACTTTTGTTTATTTCTACGTTTTTGATGGTGTAAATTACTTGACCGGTCAAACTATACTAGACGGGGTCTAGAATAGTTTGCTTGATTTGGTAAAGTAAGAAAGATAAAACGCGCATATTGACCGGTAGGACTTTAGGTGGAACACCTGTAGCCCAATTTATATTATAACAGAGAATGCACAGGTGGTTTTAGAAGGGAGTTTAGAGAGAGTGAATTCGGATCCCCATTTTCTGAGGTTTACAAGAGGTATATATATATACTAAGCTGGGGGACAGGACCATGTGCGCCCACGTGGGGGCACGCAGCTGATGTGGTGCGAGGTGACTGTCCCTGAGCTGCCTTGTCATCTTGCGAGGGGGGTTGTGCCCTTGTCGTGTTCTGGTTTGGAAAAGTTCCTTCGGCATCTCCACTGATTCTCCAGTAATGCCAGCCAGAACAGTCCAAGTCCTTTTGGACTCTTCCTGCCGACACCCTTCAATCTTCAGAAACTTCACCGGTTGGTTCTTGAGGGTTGATTAGCTAGCTTCGAAGGATGGATTTAGGCGATAGAAAAGTTTGACCGGTATACTATCCGAAGTGTACCGGTCAACCTTTTGGCAACCATCTATCCCCTTTGCTGACGATTCAGGCCCTCCATTCAAGTTTAACCTCTTTGACCGGTCAACTATATGGTTCCGTCCTTTGACCGGTCATGGGTGAGATACACCCATCAGTTTTCATTGGTTATTAGATAAAATAAAATATTTTTGACACCTCTTATTTCAAAGAATTTTTTATATAGTTTTTTGATATATAAATTTTATTTTTATTTCTATACCAATATGTATATGAAATGATTTAAAAAAGTTTGATATATTATCTCAAGAATACAAGTGTGGCAAATATTTAGGGATGGAGGAAGTATTACACAGTTCATGACGAATAAGACATTATTAAAAAATTGATGAATAGCCATTGAAAATTTGAAATAAGAGAAAAGACTAAAGTAAGAATAAAACATTGAAAATATATACCAAAATAAAATTTTCATGTTTCTATCCCTGAAATATGAGTTAAAATGCATTTACATTACCAAACATGAGGGTAAATTTTAGTAATGGTATCTGAACTTTTACTGGAATTTCGAAGTGATACATGAACTTCAAATCCTTTCATAAAAGTACCTGAACTTACATAATCCTTTCACTAAAAGTCTATTTACCCGTTTCAAGGTTAACTTCCAATCATCTGGAGCCAAATTAGAATTTTATATATTTTAAAATTTTTGATTTGACCTCGTTTCTTTTTTTCTTTTCTTCCCTCCCACAGTCCCACACCGCCACCGTCATCCTCTCCCCCCTGTCCTCGCGGATTTCGGCCTCCAAGGACGCCGCCGCCGCCTCCCTCTACATCGTCGCGCTCTTCCACCCTTCCTTCTCCATTTCCACCCCTCTCAACAGAGCTTCCAGCTCTGTGTTCTTGTTCAGAGCCTCCCGTATTTCCGCCTCCTTTCGCTTCAGTAAAAATCGAATCTTTGGTTCTCAGTGTCTCATCGCATTTATTTGATAAGGAATCACCAGATTTACCAACACCTTAATGGCTTAATCCCAGCTTTGTTGTGGTCAATAATAGTGACTTTAAATTTATAGTGATTAATTAACCAATTCAGGCAAAAAGCACGGCGACAGTGTATTAAACCAGATGATGTCCCACTAGTAACCTTTATAAGCAGGAACAATGAGATGCAATTTCTAATAGAACAGAATTGGGCTGAGTTCGAATAGAATGAATGAACATTTTAATCTATCTACAGACCTGCAAACCAGAAGAAGAATAAGAAGAAGAAGAAGAAGAAGAAGAAGAAGAAGAAGAAGAAGAAGAAGAAGAAGAAGAAGAAGAAGAAGAAGAAGAAGAAGAAGAAGAAGAAAGGGAGGCGGAAGCGGCGTCCCTGGAGGCTGAAATCCGACAGGTGCAGGGAGGAGAAAAGGGGGTGGCGGCGGCAGAGTCGTGCTGCGACGACGGCGGGAGAGGATGACGGCGGCGGTGTGCAGGAGTGGGATGAGAAGAAAAGAAAAAAAGGAATTGGGATCAAATTGAAAATTTTATAATATATATAATTCTAATTTGGTCCAAATGACCGGAAGTTAATCTGAAACGGATAAATTGACTTTTAGTGAAAAGAATAGGACCATGCTAGGGTGCCACCACATAGGTGCTACCATGGGTGCACTCATGCTTCGCACAGACAAACACAGACGATAATTGTCTGTGCGACACAGACAATTATCGTCTGTATTTGTCTGTGCGAAGCATTGATGCACCCATGGTAGCACCCATGTGGTGGCACCCTAGCATTTTCCAAAAGAATAATGTAAGTTCAGGTACTTTTATGAAAGGATTTGAAGTTCAGGTACCATTTCAAAATTCCAGTGAAAGTTCATATACCATTACTGAAATTTACCCCCAAACATGGTCATGCATATTACCAAAAAGTATAATAATGTGCACATGTACAATGTCACTTTACCACAATGCGGACTCCTATTTCAAGAATAAAAACTTGGAAGTCCTATTTTGATAGTTTTTTTTACTTCATCCGTCCATTTTTAATGTTTCCGGTTTGACCGGGCATGCATATTAATAAGTGATAAAAATTTCATTGATTTTCCTATTATACCCCTACACCTTAACATCTTTGTATCCAAGATAGATTTTGACGTCAAGAGGCACTAGGAGCAAGAGAGGATTTGTAGATCTATATAGGGGTGAGTTCGGTTTTGGCGATTCGGTTTTCACCCAAAACCAAAGACAAAACGGAAGGTAAATTAGCGGTTCGGTTCGGTTTTGCATAAAAAATATGTAAACCGTTGGTTATTCGGTTCGGTTTTATACGGTTTTTATTTCGGTTTTTTTCGGTTTATAAATGTAAAAACACTAACTCGAAAAAACAATAACAATATGTAGTGTTGGCTTTGGTTTTTGTTTGATTTTTACACAAACAAAAAACCAAACAGAATGTTATTGTTCCTTTCGGTTCAATTTTACATAAAAAAAATATGTATTGAGTGCCCAAAAAATATTTAGAAGATTCCAAATACTTCCAAAGACATCGTATGTAAAATCATTTACGAAGAATTTATATTTTTGGTATAATAATTTCATTTTCATTATAACATCAAAGTATTTTTATGTAAATATGTAAATTACTTTAATCAATTTTTAATGTTAATATAATTCTATATTACGATTAGCTATTGGTGTTCATATTCTTAGGTTTTTTTAAAGTTTATAATAGAATGGCTAGAATGTTTAATTAATAATTAAGAAAATAATTTTAATCGACTAGTAATTTATTTGCATTTATATTTCTATTATTTTTCTATATACCACATATATTCATATAAATAAAACTCATAAAGTATCTAAGAAAGTTCGGTTTATTCGGTTCGGTTTTCAAAGTGAAAACCAAAACGGAACCAAACACTAAAGGTTCGGTTTTTTTACATTCGGTTTCGGTTTTTTTGGTTCGGTATTTTTTCTAGCTCGTTTCGATCGATTTCGGTTCGGTTTTCGGTTTTCCCAACCCAGCCCTAGATCTATATAATCAATGACAGCTATGTTGGCACCACCACCTCGCTGCTTCGCCTTTCTCCTCAACTATTTACGGAAGGAAGTCAAAAGGGAAACAGAGAGCCGCCGAGCCCACAGGTTTGAGAAGTGAGGGCCACGGCTGGCCCAGGGGGAGGGCCAACTGCCAAGCAACCCTGCCGGCCCGGGCCCAATTTTTAAAACAAATACTGCGTATAATATATTTCCTGCGTCCTAGTATATTTATCTACTTTTTTAGTCAAACACGATAAACTATCAGCTCTAATTAAACAAGAATTATACTCCCTCCATTTTCTAAAACTCTTCTTACTTACAATTGAAGGCATCTCGATAATTTTTGTTTGCATATGTTTTTTCATTAGTCATTTTACAAATAAAATATTTTGTAACTACTTATTTTGTAATTTTTTGTGATGTTTTTAAATATATAAACTTTACTCTTTATTTATATACTAGTTTTTAAATAAAATTACTTTAAAAAATGAAATTTTGCACGTAAAAACGAAATAGGATGAGTTTTAAAAAACAAGAGAGTAATGTATATTATAAAAATAATTTTATTAAATTTATTTTGTCGAGATCTTTCAAAATGTATATCGTTGTACTAATATGCAAAACAAATAGATACTAATTAAAACTCAAAATTTATTTATCATGACTTGAAAAAATCAAATCAAACAAATACACGCAGACCGAAAGTAGTATATTTGTATTGTTTTAAAAATTAAAATAGGCCCAAATGGTTTTACAATTTCAGTGCTATCACCGTTTTCACGCTTCAGCGCTGCACCCAATCCGGCGATCCCCGTCGTCCTGACCGTCGCCGCTTCGTTCGCGGAGTTGCAGGTCTGTATCTTACTATCTTCGATCAATTAACGCGATTTTTTTATATTCAAAATTGAGAAGTTATCTAATTACTGAGTGATGTGAATTCAGTTGTGTGATTTAGAAGCATCTCGAAATTGCGATCGGAAAGCACATCTATCTCATCATCTTCGGGGTTTCTTCTCTTTGGAAACGGAGAGTGTGAGAGAGCGATCCCGAGCAGCGGCGATTGCCGGTACAATGAGCTCTGGCGGTTTCCGGTACACGTGAGCAGCGACGAACATTGCCACGCACTCGGAACCATCGAAGAAGGTCACGCGACAATTTCCCACGGTATTCCAACTTCAAACCCTAGATTTTCGATAACCTTTGATTTAATTGATGAGCTTTGTTTATCAATCATTGCTGATGCATTTACGAATATTGTTGAAAAATTTTGTGATGTGTTCGATTAATTTGTGAACTTCTGTTTGGAATCCTATTCTTTGTATTGGAAAATGTGAAAGAAATTGGAATGAATTTATAAATTTGAATTAGAAATTGTTACTTACTTTGAAAGAGTAGTTTTTTTTATTCTCTGTCATTGAATTGAAAGTGAAAAATAGATATTATGATGGATATTAAGTTATTTTAATTGCTTTAGTAAATCTATGGAAGGAAATTAAAAACATACGGAGTAATAAAGAAGCTGGGTTGAGATTCGATTAATTAATTTCTTCATTAATTAGTTTGATTTCTTGTTTGATTTTCTGTATCGATTCAAAAGCTCAGTGACATTTTTTCTTCACGCTTTTTTGAGTAAATTTTAAATTTCAGTGGTATCATCATCGAATTGCTGAATATAGTTTTGCTGCGTTAAGATTTAAGGCTATAGATTCATTCTGGAGAATTGGTAGGGTACCATAGTTTTTTTTGTTTAATTTAGAGGTTGAATGATGTTTTGTTGATCGTTTGGAAATTTGGAAGTCATGAGACTACTCAATTAACTCAAAGTGCACTCAAAGTTTAAATCATTGTGGTGAAGGAATTTTTTGTCATCTCATCCAAGGCCCCTGAATCCTCTGGACCGGCCCTAGTGAGAGGGCAAACTCTTAGTCCAAATCCCATCCGAACCCCCGCTGGAAAACCGCCAGCCCACCGCCGCCTCTGCGTCAATCTACCTGTAGAGAAGCACATGGGTTCACCTGAGGCCAATACAACGGAGGACATCTTTGATTCATCTCTGAACCTTGAGGAGATCCATTACAAAGAAGGCCATTCTGATGGCTATGCCGAAGGCCTGTCCTCCGGCGTGGAGGAAGGCCGCCAGGTTGGCCTGAAAACCGGGTTCGAAACCGGCTTAGAACTGGGCTTCTACAGAGGCTGCATTGATGTCTGGAGCTCTGCGATCCGGCTGGACCCGGCGTGTTTCTCGGCTCGCGTGCAGAAGAATGTCAAACAGATGGATGAATTGCTCAGGAAGTACCCTTTATTGGATCCTGAAAACGAATCAGTTTCAGATGTGATGGAGTCTTTGCGGATCAAGTTCCGGGCTATCTGTGCCACTCTCAAGGTGAAGTTGGAGCTCGACGGTTGTGGTCCCAGGGCTTCAGATCCTCGGGAAACTGGATTTTGATGGGGGGTATGTTTCGTTATTAAAGCATGATACACTATAGAGAATGCACATTGTTACTTTGGATGCTTTTGTAGTTATTAATTGCTTGTTTAATCAAACAATAGTTTGTGGTTTTGCTGTTTATTTTCAAGAAGATTGGTTCTTGATTGTTGTGGCAGGCCGTAGGCCTTGTTTTGGAACAGTGCCTTCGATTAGCGTTAGCGTTTTGGATAAAATTTTGATGGTGTAGGTTAATTTTGAAAACGCTAACGCTAAAGGCTATCGTCAGATAACCTTTTCAAAACGCTAACGTTAATCTCTAACGTTGATGCCAAATGGAGCCGAACTCAGTATCAAAACAGTCCGTGTGTTATTGGTGATGATGAATCAGTAGATTGTAATGACATTTACAGTTGATGGATTTAGGCTACTTCATCAAAGATACACTCCTTCAATCCCAACAAATGACATCTCTATCCCACATTTGAAAATTTGTGTTTGGACTTGGGAGTTGTCTTTGAATTTTTTTTAATGTGTTTGGAGTTTTCTTTGAATTCTTTATTAATTACGGAGTAACAAAAAAACATTATAATATTTAAATGAAGGGAAAAAAAGACAAAAGACATTTGTTCTTTTTGCTCTCTATTCATTAGGGATGGGGTGCAGGAGCGCGTAAGGGACGCGCCTGGTATGGTTAATGAGTAGGAACAATCAATTTTACAATTGGAGTACCGAAGGTACTCCAATCGAACTGGTTTAACAATCTTACACCAGGTCCATTGGTATAAAATTACTTCTCCCATTTCGAAAAACAAATGAGAATAATGTTATAGGAAATCAAAAAATGTAACACTTCATTCCTTTTTAATTATTTGTTGACCGCTAATATTTCTTAAAATACTATTACTTGTGTAGCAAAATTATTTTAAAAAATGGAGTATAAATTAAAAATACTTTTTGATACAAATATTATGGTGTGACTTTTATATTTTAATTCAAAGTAGATTTTATATTTTTTAATTCATTGTATATATTTTTATCACATTTATTTTGTTATTTAACTTTTGCACTAATTTTCAAATAAAGTCAATTGGAATTAAAAAATTAAACCAAATTTTCTGAACTTATTAAGTAATTCGGATACCTCAATTTTTACCAAATTAAACTCCCTCAATTTGAAAAAAGTTTTTTGTTGTGGGTTGAGTAAAGTTATATTTCAATTAAATTTATTACTAAATTAGCATAAACTTAAAAAAATATAGAGTACATTGCAAAAAAATATCAAAAATTCTACAAAAAGAGTGACAAAACTATACATTTCGTGGTGAAAATAGTAAAATAAAGTATTCATAGTTTGATTATTTATTTGATTTTTCACGATCTTTGATGCACCATTGTAATACGAAGTAATAAATAACAAAATTTGTACTTACAAAATATTTTCTCTGTCCCTAAAAATCTTTTTTCATAGTGGTTTTCATAGATTCAAAGGGGGATATTTTACATTTGATTTGCCCAAATTACCCTTGGATGTGAAAATGTAAAAGTGTGATAAATAGATAATTAGTAAATAGATACATATCGTAATAGCTTGTAGGAATAAAAATGATTGTTTAATGGAAACTGCAAATTTTTTAAGGACAAGGAAGAAGTATAAATAAAAGGAAAAAAACACCGAAGAATACAAATGTACAATGTCACATTATTATAGTTAAAATTATTTTTTTGAATAAAAATATATAGGCTTTATTTTACTACTATTTCTATATTTTAATTTTATTTTGAGTAATTTAGTGAAAAATATTTTGTAGGACAAAGGAAATATATATTAGGAATTTATTAAATAATAATTATACTTCTTTAAATTTAAATCAAAATTAGTTGAACTTCTCGTTGAGTGGTAGCAAGCCGGGTTTTATTCCCGCCGATCAAAACTGTTGCGCCGCCGGTGCAGAAACTCATAGAACGCCATCGATGTCCATTCTCCAAATATCATCCCCATCCTCGTTTTGCAATGGCCCAAAGTTCCCATTCCCTAAATCCTCGTCATATCCTTCACCGGCTAAATCTCTGCGCATAATATGCGCAAGCAGGACCAAAAGAGTGGGGAAATTGAGGTACCCGTCAGAGAAAAAGAAGCTAAAGCTTCAGCAGAAGCCTCAATCTGACTCGATAAACAAGTTTGAAGGATTTTGGAGGCTTTCCAATCTCGGCGTCTCCGCTCTTGCTGACCCGGGCAAAGATTTTCTGGACGTTTCTGATGCTTTGCTTCAAGAAATTGCCAAAGTTCTTGAAATTCCGGTAATGTTTTAGCTTGTTGTGAGCTGTGATCTCCATTGGGTTATTACTTTTGAGCATTTTCATATTAGTTGAGAGTAAGCTTGAATGGTTTCTTCTTTTTTTTGCCCAAAGTTTTATCCAATTTCAATCGAATGACACTGCTTACTCTGCAGGTTGCTTCTATGTTGCCGCCAGAAGCCTTTACGGTCGTTAGAAAATCTTTTGATGCCCGGAAGGTTTGTTATATGCGAAGCTTCCTGCAAATTGTTGTTTCCCATTGTTATGGTTTCGCATATAGAATGTTTTTTTTTCTTTTTTGCATTTCTGATGAAACTATTTGAGCATTAAAATGATAAATACTCATGGAACATGTTAAACTCTTGAATGCGTAAAGTTAAATCTCTGTCTGTATAACTACAAAAGTTTCAATCTTTCATTCATTGTCATTTGGTCAGCATCGATTTAGTGCTGTGCTTGTTTTATCATGATGTTCTCCAACATTTTATTAAAGGGAAACCTGTATGTTCACTAAATAAGTAGTTTGTGGATTTATTTGCAGTCACAGAAGGAGCCAAAATTTGTATACACTGTGGATGTGGATACCAACAAACTTGTAAGCATAGAGCCTCGTACATTGGACTTCATCTCCAAGTTGGAACCCAAAGCTGGGATTGTGGAGCATATTCTTGACAACAGAATTTCTGGAGATGTAACAAGCATGGCACACTCTTGGAGGCTGCCCAGTGTTAGAAAACCAAAAATTGCTGTTGTGGGTAGTGGACCTGCTGGCATGTTTGCTTCCCTGGTGCTTGCTGAATTTGGTGCTGATGTCACGCTACTTGAAAGAGGGAAACCTGTGGAGCAGAGGGGACGTGACATTGGTGCTTTGGTAGTTCGGAGGATGTTTAAAGAAGAAAGCAATTTTTGCTTTGGGGAGGTTATATCTAGAAACTATACCTTTAATATACTGGATTTTTATGCTTGATCAAGAAGAACTTGAATTTAATTTTCATTGTTTATTTATTAAGGACTTATGGCTGACAGGGTGGTGCAGGTACTTGGAGTGATGGGAAGCTAGTTACTAGAATTGGAAGGAACAGTAGTGCTGTTTTAGCAGTAAGTGGCTGCCAAAACACACACACACACAAATCTCGCACTGGTTCACTGGTTGTTTTGGTGATCTCTATCTATCCTGGATGCTGTGCACTTGAATTTCAGGTTTTGAAGACATTGGTCTTGTTTGGAGCTCCAAAGAAAATTTTGGTTGATGGAAAGCCTCATCTCGGAACTGACAAGTTGGTTCCACTACTTCAAAACTTTAGGTGTCACCTACAAGAACTGGGTGTGAGTTTTTGTTTCTTCTTTTTATTCCTCCCATTCTCCCCGTGAAAAGGGGCTGCTTGGAATCTGGAAAAAATTAGGAAAAGAACAGAGGAGAAATTTGGAAAATAAACAATATAAAAAATGGTTCAATAGATCAATTTATAGACTCCATGTTTCTTTGATATAACTAAGAATTGTACATATCTGTAGTTTTTAAATCAGTTTTGATCAAATTTGATTTTACGTTTTGTTTTCATGTGAAAAGTGAAAACCATATGCCGCGGAGTATAAAACACTGTTCTCTTTAACAATTTTTCTCCCCTAAAATTTCCCTACCACTATCCGTGTTACAATAATGGATGCGTGGTCATTTTATTAGTGATGTCTCATTGTGAATGAAATTTATGCTTAGGTTACAATCAAGTTTGGAACAAGGGTTGATGATCTACTTGTAGAGAATGGGTTTGTGGTGGGAGTGAAGGTATCTAATTCAGGAGATGGCCAACAATCCATCAGCGATAATTTGGGTTATGATGCAGTGGTTTTAGCAGTTGGGCATTCTGCTCGTGATACATATGAAATGCTACTTTCCCATAATGTCAACCTTACCCAAAAAGATTTCTCTGTGAGTTATTTCATCAGCATTCGATACATAACTTGTTACTGTTAGATGCATAAGTTTTAAATCTAATGCGAACCACAGGTTGGGTTACGTGTGGAGCATCCTCAAGAGTTAATTAACACCATACAGGTATGTGGTGAACACAACATGCTGACCTGGGTTTTATTCCTATAATCATTAAGTATGTACAGAAAGACTTTTTTGTTTATTTTGATGTGAAAATTTTAGCTCTTTTGCAAATCTGCAGTATTCCGAATTAGCCAAAGAGGTCAAAAGTGGGCGTGGGAGAGTTCCAGTTGCTGATTACAAAGTTGTGGATTATCTAAATACAGACAGCTTGGTTTCTCCTTCAGAATGTAGACCAATCAAGCGTAGCTGTTACTCATTTTGTATGTGTCCTGGTGGCCAGGTATAGCTAATGCAGTTATTATTATTTGTGAATTGGGTTTTTCTATGAGCACTGGTTTAGTTTCATTTTCATGAGAACATAACGCTGAGTTTTGTGTAGATGATCTTTGTCACTTGGCATCTCTTAGCATGAACGTTCTAAGAAGCTCTAGCCACTCTAGTGGCGGTTGACTGATCTCATCCCATGCCGCGGCCTGAGCAGGGCCACGAAACCACAAAACTGACCATAAAAGCACTGTTTTTGGCTTAAAATTTTGTTAAACTGCATTTTGTGGTGCAGTTTTTGATAGTTACACGTGGTTTAAAACGACAACGCCCCATTAGCTTCATAAAAAAAATTCTCCCATTTCACTTTTCCATATTAAGTAATACAGACTACAGTGTATATCATAACTTCAATTATTAATTTAGTAATGTTATTCATAGTTTATATATTCCACTCGAATACCTTAGATTTTCTTTGGAGTTTGAACCTCATATACTTATTTAATTCAAGTTTTTAGTTACAATTTACCGTTTTGTATATCTTAAAAGTTTTGAATGCTTAAATTGAAATCAAGTTAAAATTAAAATAAGTTGTTAAAGTTCAAAAATAAAAATTTGCAAGTAAACTGAAAAACGAAAAAAAAGCTAAGTTTTTTAAAGCCCAAACTGCTAGATTAGTTTTGCTTTTCACTCCATGTAATGTTTGCAGTATGTGATTTCAGATACTTATTTTAAGTGGGCAAACGTTGTACTTACTAACAATTTGGCAGGTTGTTCTCACAAGTACAAATCCATCAGAATTATGTATCAACGGAATGTCATTTTCTAGAAGATCATCAAAGTGGGCTAATGCTGCACTTGTAGTCACTGTTTCACCAAAGGATTTTTCTGCTTTAAGTTTAAATGGACCCCTTGCTGGTGTTCAGTTTCAGGTCTCTTACTATTTAGTGATTTGACACTTATTCATTTATTTAGACCATTTTGGATCTTCTTTTTTTTTCATTCGAGATAGTGGAGCTCTTTATTTCTGTAGGTTTCACGCATCATGCATCATATTGTTTGTTGCTCAACATAAAAAAATATACAATCGTTTTTATGGGTGAAAATGACGACTTTCAGAGAACATTTGAACAAAGGGCTGCTCTGATGGGTGGGGGAAGTTTTGTGGTACCTGTACAAACAGTGACTGATTTTCTTGGAAACAAATCATCAGGTCAAGTCTTTTATATTAACCATTAGTTTTTCTGTATCAATTTAAAGTTATTTTAGACATACTGACCTTAGCATTTGTTTGCAGTAGCTTCACTACCATCATCAAGTTACCGTTTGGGAGTGAAAGCAGCAAATCTTCATGAATTATTCCCCAGTCATATAACTGAAGCTCTGCAAAAGTCAATTTTAAAATTTGATAATGAGGTCTTAGTCTATTCTCACCATTTCCCTACCTTTCTTTCCATTTAGAATTGAAGTTCCAATATTCTTTATCTTACTTTTTTTGTGATGCTTTCCCGGAATTTGGAGCTCAGCTACCAGGGTTTATATCCAGCAGTGCCCTTCTTCACGGAGTTGAGGTACACATATATATGTTCCAATTTGTTTCTTCTTAAATTTCATTTTATCTTTTAAAGAAAGTGGGAGTGTTTGAACTCAAGATCTTGTAATATAAGGTCACTTAAGGTTGTTAGCATAATTATTGCTGGCTTTCTTTGTTTCTCACTTCAGACGAGAACGAGTTCTCCTGTTCAAATCTCCCGGACAGTACATACTTCGAGAGTACCTCTATGAAAGGGCTGTATCCTGTGGGGGAGGGTGCAGGCTATGCAGGTGGGATAGTGAGTGCAGCTGTTGATGGTATGCAAGCTGGTTTTGCTCTGGCAAAGAGTTTGGGTCTTTTTGAGGGCGACCTAGACTCAATTTTGGGAAAGGGGCACAATAGCGATGGAGTTGGAAAGTACTGAAATTGATGGAGGATCTCTAAAGTGCGACCAGTTCAAGGCTTTTACATATGAGGATGTCTCGGGTATCTTTTAACCTTGCTCGATTAGTTCTCGTATTTCTTAATATCATATGTTGGCGTTTGGTTTATCTGAATGTAATATTCGTAAGTGTAATGCGAGATTTCAACAAGATGAGTTTTTGGTTCCTTCAAAATTCTTTGGTACTCTGAGATTCCACGAAATGTGATACCAGGGAATGAAAAACTTGAAAATTTGGAGATTCTTTGAATGCCAGATTCCTGAAATTGCAGGAATCCAAACGATTCACGCACCATATAATTGGGTGAGCTCTTTTCTACTCGCAGTTCTCAGTAAATCAATTCCCCAATGATAAATTTCCAACCAGCACACTGTTCCAAACGATGCCTTAAGACATCCAAAATTTAGTACAACTTCTACACTAATACACTAATAGACAAACAAACAAAAACCTTTACACATTCAAAACAACTTCAATCAAACCTCTTCTTGAACACTAAATGCTGATGCATTTCTCCAAATTAGAATGAATCACCAGAAAGTCAAACAAGGAAGGCATTTCAGCAGTTGATTCCACATTGCTTGACATCGGGCCCCTTGGTCTTAAGCACAAAAGGGTCAATTCGAACCCAAAGTAAGCTGAAGATGGAAGCCAATAAAACTGACCATATGACCACAATGGTTGGTGTCCTGTTCTGCCGTCCCATAAGACCTTTCAGGAACGGGTACAAGTGTACAATAACCCAAAAGGCAAAGAATAGTTTACCAAACAGGGGACCCCATGAGTCATAACCGTTGTTTATGGCATCCGAGATTCCAGCCACTACCCCTACTATGTTGATTATCAGAATGGTTGTCGGCGGGATTAAGAGTGTTGTCCATTTAATGGCGTATAGTTCTCCAAATTCCTCATCATCTGTTGCCTTTGAAGTGACTGTAAAATTTGTGTCTATTCCCGCCAAAACCTTCAAGAGGCCTTGGATAACGGCGAAGAGGTGAGCTGATACTCCTCCGATGACCCAGAATTGCTCGTTTCTCCACCATTCTTCAATGCTAACTCCACTCCATCTCAGTTCAAGAATGCCCGTTGAAAATATTGAGAGGAAGAGAGCTATGAAGAATAGACTTGCAAGGGTGCTTATCTGCACGATTCAATATATATAAAAGTTACTACTTTTGATTCAACATTTCATTTACTTATCAGATATTTTAAATGAGACTACACAATCAGCTTAGGTCATACAAACATGCAAACAATGGCTGATTAACCATTTACCAAACATAGCTGTAGAGTAACAATGTAGCAAGTGTGAAGTTCTATAACAATGTTGCAAGCTGTTTTTACCTCAGGCATTATGAATTTTCCAGTGAGCAAGCAGATAGCAGGAAGAGTACAGTAGGCAAGGAGAGGAATGGAAGTGAATGGATAGACAGTTGTGTTAACATATGAAAATCTCTCAAGAAACTTGAGCTTTCCTCCCTTGTAGCCATACCAAACTGGGCTGTGTCGGCTGAAAAAGATCTCAACCGAACCAAGTGCCCAACGAAGCACTTGGTTTAGACGGTCTGATAGATTGATGGGAGCAGAACCTTTGAATGCAGCCAGCTTTGGCATGCAATAGACTGACCTCCAGCCCCGACAATGCATCTTGAATCCGGTCAAGATATCCTCTGTGATCGAGCCATAAATCCATCCTATCTGTATTTTTAACAGCCATTATAAATACATTCCTAAGAGGAACTTTAGGCCTTATTTGGACAATTTGTTTTTACATTTAGATGGTTGAAAAGATAATAAAGATGAAAATTGATAATGAAACACATTACTCTGTATATATCTAGACATATACCGATAGTTATTTTATAGTTTCCTCAAAAGCACTTTTCTTCCATATCAAAACACTTGTTCTTTGAAAACAAGTCATCTTGAACAAATAGAAATAGAATAGTAAACTCAAATCTAACAGCTTCTCCTCTCCAGAACCCCCTACCCAACAATCCCTAAGATTACTGTTATTTCTATAGAAGGTTTGACTAGGCTGTTCTTTTTTTTGTTACCTCAGTTCCCCATTCTGTCTTGTCTTCATAGCCGCAGCTGATCACATGAATGGCTTCCTTGAGTAAAGCAGCTGGGCTTGATGAAGGTGGTACACCACCATCAACCATCAAAGTTGAGGTCACAAAGCTTGCCGATTGCCCAAATTTCTTCTCAAAGTTCATCTCTGACATTAGTACCTCTTTGTCACCATTCAATCCTGAGCATGAAGCCATGAACACTACTTAGGGATAAAGCTCTGCTGTTTACAGGAAAAATAATTTCTGATTTCCCTGTGTGTTTGAAAATATTTTCCTGAAACTGTATTATGTTTTCTATATATACATGTCAAACATTATATTATGCATAGACCAACTTATTTTCCAAGAAGCATTTTTCCAGAACATTTCTGTGCAAAGCATTTGCCACATCAAGTTGTTTTCCTTGAACAAACCGGATTTAAGATTCTAATTTAAACAACTTATCAAGAATTGATAAAATAAATCATGAACCTTCAGCGTTTGCAGCATCTCCATGAGTAGTATACTTCTCAAGCTTTTTCCTACGACCAAAACATGGGCAGCAGTCACAAGTTACCATTTTTGGTCGCTTAGCACGCTGTGGTGGATCATATCCATACAAAGCTTGTCTTCTGAAGACACACCCCGTCCCAACATATACAGGGCCTTGTATTCCATCAAGGCCTTTCATGTTAATCTGACCATGAAGGCATGAACTATAAACAGTTATGCTATGCCTCGAATGCGGAAATTCTAGGGAAACAAAAAAATGCTACTGAATATTGTTAGGCTTTACCATTAAAAATACAAGGAAAAATAAAGTTAACTTTTGAATTTTAGTTTGTGTGTGTGTGTGTGTGTTTATGTTTATTAGTCTTCACATTTTATATATATATATATATATATATATATATATATATATATATATATATAATTGTATAAGTAAGAATTTAGACAAGTATCTAAAACTGTTGTATTCAGTTTGAAATGACCCCCCCTCCTCCCGCCCACACACCCCACCCAAAAAGAAGAAAACTTTGCTTACATTTTTTGCTCTATATTCCTTGATTAATTCTTTCATTTGCATTTTATGGGTTCCAAACAGAACCTCGGGGGAATAGGAAAAAAACAATATAATCAAATTGCTTCTCTTACATCAAAGAAGACTGTGTTTCTGTTTGCATATCTGTCGTGCCTGTCTATACCATCAAATCTTTGAGGAAACTGGACATAGCAGATTTTCCTCCCAGATGTGGGGTCCATCAAGAAACACATGGCTTCTCTCACAGCTTTGCTGTTGTTTATATAATGGTCACAGTCCAAGTTAAGCATGAATGGGGCATTGGTAAGAACTCCCGAGACTCGAACCTGCAAAGATTTTATGCAGCTTGAAGATGTTTTGTATTTTTTCTTCAGTGAAAAAAAATTATTTGCTTGTACCAGGGAATTCATAGCACCGGCTTTCTTGTGATGTTGGAAACCTGGTCTCTTCTCACGAGATACATAAACTAAGCGGGGCAATTCGTTTCCTTCAACATCGGTTCCTCCATTTTGACCAAGAAACACTTGGATCATTCCAGGATGGTCCTTGGTATTGTTCCCTGGCCATGGTGTTCCATCTTTCATGATCCATCCTCCCTCGGGGACTTTGGCCGCTTTGGCCACCATTGCGTTGATTCTAATCTTGAACTCCTCATACTCTCTCTATCACAGCAGAAGAAGAAAAAGAATAATAAAAATTAGTTCATGATACAAAAAATCGTCTTTCAAACATAACTTGTTTTCTTGTGGTAGGATCCCAAACTTAACCCTAACTTTGCATCACTGTGATTTTGTCAAAGTTGGTAACTTTTTTTGGGCATTTTGCAAAATGTCACATACATTCAACATACTATTGGAGTTCGCTGGACAGTGGACACTATGGTTTAAGTCTTTAAGAATTAAGATATCTTCCCTTGCACCTTTTATGTAAGATTTGTGTTGACACTTGACACCTTTATACTTTAGTATATGGGACAAGTTAAGATTTCAAATGAAAATATACCTTCATTGCACGTCTGTCTTTGACAAATGCAGGCTGAACTTTATCCTTGAGAAAATCAATTTTCTGAGAAAAATACACCTCTGGGGCTCGAGGCTCTATGTCAAACTTTTTGCAGAAAGGGACCCATTTTCGGGAGAACTCTGCAGTCTCTGAGAGTGATTCAAATGTGCAGTTAGAAGCTCCATCGTCAGATATATAACATGAGATTTTGTCAACTGGGTAGTCCATTGCTAGTATAGAGAGTACAGTATTAGCTGTAACAAGAGGCGGTTCCTTAAAGGGATCCACAGTACTCACAAATACATCAACAGGGGCTAACATGTTTGGCTCTCCTTCCCTCTCGTACCTACATATTGAGCCAGATCATATGGTTCCATTGTCAAAACCCAGTTTGAAATGTTGAGTCCCACATCGAAGTTCTAAAGAGACAAATACACAAGGTACTGGATCAAACAAGCTGTTTGATTAGATTTGGCCGAGTGACCTTGTCCTAATTATAAGTTCTATCGTAGATGGGTGTAAGTCGTGTAGCTTTAAAATTATTTACCTGAAAGAGAGGCGATCAAGGTAAGTTTCACGGTCAATGGGGAACCATTTGGGGAATTGATCAAGAATCCATGAGAAGGCAAACCAGATCTCACAAATGATGGAGGTTAGCCAGAGGCCAATGGCGTCATGGACCGGGTTGAGGATTCTGTAACGGAGGAAGACAGCTACAATCACAAGCCTTACGACAATCACCATACGGTAAGGGTTGATTTTGCTTGATGCAATTGGTACCTTCCTTGATAATGGCTGTCTTGCTTCATCCACTCTGCAAATATTTCATTAAAAATCATATCTAGATATTGAGACCAACTAATTAGGAGAAATTTTTTCTGAAAAAA